GGAAAGAGGAGGCCAAGGGATAGCAGTGTCAAGCAGAGGCAAACTATAAGCATATTGCAGTAAGTCAAGTAACTATTTAGTATATCCAGAAAGTAGCTATAAATTACTAAAAATCAATCAAGCTATGTAAAGGGGAAGGTAAGGTAAGGAACTGCTTTGTGTGGGAGTAGGAAGCAGCAAAAGGGTTTTGCCTGAATGAGTAGTGGCCAAATGTTGTACGTTGCTGTGAATATACAGGACCCCTTTCCCCTCCCTCTTCCGTTTTTTTGTTTTTAGTGAGGGTTTTAATGTTGGGACATTACAGGCTTGGAGAAGCTTGTTCATGCGTCGGATTTAAAGATTTTAAGTAGGTAGGAAGTCAGTGCAAATTTTAGTAAAGGTTATCCCTAGTTCATGCACAGGTTCTAGCTTATGCATCCTTCAGTCAAATTATAGCAACTGTAGTTACAGAAGTGCAGTCAGGGAAAGGACTGAACACTGATAAATCCCTTGTTATGAATATATAATAAAGCTATTTATATCACATTGTTAACTTCGAATATCATTAAGTTTTACTTATTTGTGACAAAATTTCTTTTTTGTTGCAGATACGATCCTAATGTGAAAAGGAGAAGATAAATTGTGACCTGAATTTACAGTTCTCTAGCAAAATCTGCTTTCTGTTCCTTAGGTTTGCTGGTTACATATATACCTACATATGACCATATAATTGTACGACTTGTTTTTAAGTCTTGCTTTTATTAAAGAAAAAGAAAAGTTTCTTTCGCTGCTTGGTACTTAGGGGTTGCATGTTTTTAAGACCTTCACATTATTTGCTTCAGAGTAATGCTCAGTAAAATACCATAGATACTTAGAATTTCAATTTAGGCTGTTTATTTCTAATGTTTGCTTGTCAGTACTACTTTGGGGAAAAAAAGGAAATCAGCATCAGGCTTTTTTCTTTGCAGAAAGGCTTTGTTAATTAGATTTTTTGTATATTGGCAATTTAGTCTTGAGGTGGAGGATTTTGAAGACTTCATAAATAAGTTAGACTAAACTTCAAATTTGTATCTGAGTAAACAAAAAGTATTTAATATTGATAAGGCCAAGCTTTTTCCTATTTTTTGAAGTTGGTGATACCAAATTATTTGCAGCCAGCCACCAATTTTGTGTGATGACAGATTTGCAACAAATGTCACTGAATTTTAGAATTTAAACTTTTTGCCCTATTATGTCTTCAAATCTTCAATATTTGTTTCAACAGCCTACAGACTAGAAACACTCTTATAAACTCAGAAAAAGATACCAAAAAATTTTGCAGCAGCAACAAGCAGTTTACTTTTGGTTTGTTGAGAAGGGAGAGAGGGGGAACTGCAGTTTCTTTTTCTGCGTATTTCCTTTCCTTTGCAAATAGGAGAGAGATGTGTTTGAAAATGGCTGTTTAAGAACAAAAGATGTATATGGAAAGCCCAAAATCTGAGAACCATCAGATTATGAGAGTCTGTCTACTTTCCTGTAGTATTAAATAAGAAATAACCTTGTACATTCCTCAGAAGTGTAAATTGTGGTATAATGATGTCTCGTATTTTGTAGTTTGTTTCTATTTGTAATGAGACTCAAGTTAGAGGGGGAGAAGACTGAATTGGATAGTTTCCAGGAGTCAAGGAGGGCAAGTGGAACACGCCAAAAATAAGACTTAAAAATAAAAAATGGTTGGGGGTTGGGGGGAATTTCCCTGGAAAATAAAAAAAGAAAAACTTGAAAGCTCCAGATCAGGGAGTGGCAGAGAAGCCAAATGAATCCCCTTGCTATTGGAAATAATGTCTGCTATCCATGTCTTTACTTTTTTCAATCACTGTGTAAAAAATCTGCCCTTCAAAATAATTCCATCATCTACATCGACAGTGAAAGCTGCGAAACAGCTACCCATTTTTGGGTTAGGAGAGCTCATCTGAGAATTTGGAATTTGAAGGATTCCCCTGGAAGTAGAGTGAGAACAGCCTTCCAGATTTTCTGCTCAGCTGTATGAAACCGTCACATACAGATGAAGATGGACAGTAGCTCCATTGCATCCTGTTTCAAGAGGCAGGATAGTAGCATCTCCTTCCTTATGTGAGGAAGTAATTTTGTTGATGTAAGTGAATTTAAGTACTCAGTAAGCTTCCTCTGGCTCAGAATGTGCAAGCAAGATGAGCTGAGCTGAGGTGTTTTCAAGCCACTCTGTCGTGTATCAAATTTGAAGAACGGCATCCTGAGATCTCTGTATATCAAGATAGCAGGTTACTCAACACGGTTGCATGGTCTCAGAAAATACTTGGTCTTCAAAAACCAGTCTTTCCTCTGGTCTGTTTTGGCTGCTTCTTGATCACTTGGTCAGGGCTGTCCAGAGTGATACACAAAGTACAAGACCAGTACCTCTGAGTTCAGCAATAGCCATGGGAGTGCTTTGGTATTGTAACTTGCATCAGGGCACATCAAATCTTGTCCACCAAATACCTTTAAAAACACTGTTCTTCAACAGTTGAAATATTTCCTGGAAGAGATGTACTGACTGCTATTTGTTGCACCCTCAGATGAATTTTTCTATGGTCACAATGAGAATCTCCAGGTTTTCCTGTTGAAGACCCAGTGGTCCAACAGGGCACCTCTTATAGACTGTTGAGGATGACCTTTTTGGTGGTTGTAACTAAATTCAAGCTAACAGCTTGGGTAGCAGAATATCAATGGACAAGATCCTTCAGAAGGGTTGTGTTTACAGTTGTAAAAAACAGCACTTGTCATTTCACCTTTCATCTTCTATTCATGTTATATGATTAGGAGTCTTCAAATCCAATTCTCCAGAGAGTTGAATTTAGCAGCTTTGATACTTTTTGGTTTTTTAGTTATTTAGTGTCCTAGGACTGATAGACTCGCCCACCATGTGACTGAGGGAGCACCCACAGACAAATACTTGGAGATTTCTTCATAGATCTTGTTTGAGATGTCTTCTCTGTATCAACAATTCTAACATCTTCAGATTTCTTTGCAGTCTTTCATGGGGTGCTGTGTGTTCTCAAGAGGGGAGGGCATTCTGGGGATTTCCACAGTATTGCTGAGGGAAAAAAAGAGTTAGGACTTGGCTAAAGATACACCCAGCATATATTCCTGTTTTGGGTCCAACTTGAGGGTGCCTAATATGTGATAATTTGGTTGCTAATTCAGTTGCATCTGCTGTCTGGTTGATGAGAAGCCTGTAGATTAGTGAATCTGAGCCTTTTGCTATTGCAGTATTGTATTGGGTTTGTATTGTGTTGGTAAGGTTTTGGGAGCAGGGGAGGCTGCAGGGGTGGCTTCTGTGAGAAGCTCCTAGAAGCTTCCCCTGTGGCCAACAGAGGCAATGCCAGCCGGCTCCAAGGTGGACCTGCTGCTGGCCAAGGCCGAGCCCATCAGTGATGGTGGTAGCACCTCTGGGATAACATTTAAGAAGGGAAAAAGTTGCTGTGCAGCAGCAATTGCAGCAAGGAGAAAGGAGTGAGACTATGTGAGAGGAACAGCCCTGCAGACACCAAGGTCAGTGAGGAAGGAGGGGGAGGAGGTGCTCCAGGCTCTGGAGCAGAGATTCCCCTGCAGCCCATGGTGCCAGACCATGGTGAGACAGCTGTGCCCCTGCACCCATGGAGGTCCACAGTGGAGCGGATATCCACCTGCAGCCCGGGGAGGACCCCATGCTGGAGCAGGTGGATGTGCCCAAAGGAGGTTGTGACCCCACGGGAAGCCCGTGCTGGAGCAGGCTCCTGGCAGGCCCTGTGGAGCCATGGAGAGAGAGGAGCCCATGCTGTAGCAGGTTTGCTGGCAGGACTTGTGACCCCGTGGGGGACCCACACTGGAGCAGTCTGCTCCTGAAGGACTGCACCCCATGGAAGGGACCCACGCTGGAGCAGTTCCTGAAGATCTGCAGCCTGTGGGAAGCACCTACATTAGAGAAGTTCATGGAGGACTGTCTCCTGTGGGTGGGACCCCACACTGGAGCAGGGGAAGAGTGTGAGGAGTCCCCCCCTGAGGAAGAAGGAGCGGCAGAGACAACATGTGATGGGCTGCATCACACCATTCCCTGCACTGCTCAGGAGGAGGAGGTGGAGAAATCAGGAGTGAAGTTGAGCCTGGGAAGAAGGGAGGGGTGGGGGGAAGGCATTTTAAGATTTGTTTTTATTTCTCATTACCCTAGTCTGATTTGATTTATAATAAATTAACTAATTTTCCCAAGTGGAAGTGTATCAGTGACAGTCTTTTTGCCCCTCATGGTAATTAGTGAATGATTTCTCCCTGCCCTTATCTCAACCCACAAGCCTTTTATTATATTTTCTCTCCCCTGTCCTGCCAAGGAGGGGAGTGATAGAGTGGCTTTGGTGGCACCTGGTGTCCAGCCAGGGTCAACCCACCACACGATCCAAGTCTTGGGAGCCTGAACATCCAATAAATTACAACAGTATTTGCCTTACCCCTGGAACTATGTCATTAACTTGACTTGATGCTTCCTTTATTTTATAAAACATACTCTTGTGGGCTAACCCCAGCCGGCAGCTAAGCCCCATGCAGCTGCTCACTTGCTCCCCCTGCAGCGGGATGGGAGAGAGAGAAGGGTAAAAGTGGAAAAAACATACAGGCTGAGCTGAAGGCAGTTTTACAAGTGAAGCAGAAGCTGTGAGCACAAGCAAAGGCAATTAACTTTGCACTCTGCAGTTCAGAACTATTGCTGCATGCTCCATCTTCATTATGTGGGTCTTGTGCCCTGTGGTTTCAATAAGCCGTTCACCAGTTTTCTGAGAGAATGTGTGTGGTGTTGATTTTCTTTAGAAGGTTAAAAAAAGTTCAGTAACTCAGACATGACATCTAAGGTTTCTCTCATCTGCCTCAAACCACACCTTTTTGACAAAGTGCTGCTCTTCACAAAAATAAATCTAAGCAGAAACTTATCTTCACATCTTGTTTCTTGCATTTTTCTGTGTAACACAAAGTTTGAGGGTTTGTTAGGATTGCTATTTTTATAGCATGCGTTATCTTTGTTCACACTGCTCACAGGAAGGAGATGCACACAATACATAAGCTAAATATACTTTTTATTAGCAAGGCTTTTAAAACACAGTCTTGCATTCGGCAGCTTAGCTGAACACGGTTTAAAGCAGATTGAATTACTTCATGCACCACTAAAATAGAAGATGGGTGCTGTATCCCTGCAGGAACAACATGCTTCATTTTCAATTTAACTCACACCAGTTTCAGCTGACTTCCCATCTTTCCTACATCTGTTGGGAAACCCACTGCCCTTGTTGGTAAGACTACCAAGATACTCTCACTGTGGAAGTTTGTTGTCTATTTCTGTCCATTCACATCTGTGACTGACTGCCCCTTTTTTCCTCTCCTTACTTCCCCTTTTCTGCCAGAAAGGGGGGGCTGGTGCAGCAGGGCTGGCCTCTCCTGCGTCATTGCACCAGTTCTTATATTCTGAAGGTGTGTTTGCAGTCAGCTTTGGTTTCTTCCCTCCATCGACCTCCCCATCAGCTTCCTCCAGCATGCTAAGCCCCCTTCATGCCTCCATTCCTGATATGTCCGAGAGGCTCTAGTCCACATTTACCATCAAACATTAAGTTTGTCACTGATAC